CAATATCTATGTTTTTGTTTTTATTGACACAAAAAGTCAATTACAAAAACAAATCACTACAATAAAATAGGCTACGAAATAATTTCAAATAAATTATCTATCAGAATAGCTTGCAAATTATTCGAAGATCAATTTTAATTTTTAAACTCATTAAAAATATTGATTTTTGCCGCAAAAATGACTTAAAAAAAAACTATATCGAGAAAGCACCATCTAATGAGAAAAATAATGTTTGCCTCAATCAAGTCAATAAGCAGAAAATTTCTCTCGTTTTGTTTTTTTATTAATTAGAAAAATTTCCACTTTATTACAACTCGAATAACTGAACCAGAAGAGAATCCAATATTCTAGTCACTGGTCAAAATAATTTTTGGAGAAATTCAATGATAATTGATATAATTTAAATTTTGACGCGAGTGTGTCAATTAATAATTTCTAATATATCCTTTTATAAAATAATAATTTAAAAATATGTATTTATGTTTTTTAAATTCTTAATTTAAACACATTATATTGAGGCTAATTTATCAGAGTTAACTGTATATAGGTGAATATACGCTCATGGACAAAACTTGAGTGAGTGGAAAATCTTTAATGACGCATGTCGTTTTATTTTATTAATTTATTCTTTTTAATGTGACAGAGGCAATATTTTGTTTACACTTGCTAATCTCGGGTGTCTTCAATAAAGGTCACTGTGTATCAAATATCTTTCAGAGTTATTATCTGAATCCCAATATACATGATAAAATTCCCTAAGTTTTGTTAATGAGTGTATATAAGGAAAGGATTGGTTTAACGATATAAAGGAATAGATAAACATGTATCAATCAACTATCTCATTTTTATAGAACAAAATAAAATATTTCATCAATTTTATAATCCAATATTTCAGAGTTATGAGTTCTTCGATGGTATCCTGATCCGAATGATCTCGGATATCTCTTAGAAAGGCTGATAAGGCCTAAAGCTTGAGTTCAAGTAAGAAAACTGTTGGGATCTAAGACTTTCATATTCTACCATCAAGCAGAGTAATCACCAACACCACGAAGAAATTAACACTTTTAATTTCCTTTCTTAACTAACTAACTTACATCATTTCAAAACCAAATATATACATGCAAAGTAGTCCAGTCATCTGGTCAAAAATATAAAAATATAAATCTATGAAAAACAATTTATAAAAAAGCTAACAAAAACTGATGAAGAAACGTTAGGAGCTTCTTTCTATTTAATTTCATTAAAGGAGATTGATATTTATCACAAGACTCTTCTATCAAATTAAATGGCAATTTTCCAATTTATCATGTGGTCGAAGATTAAATTTATCATTGATATCTGGGTTCGTTATTAAACATCAACTGTTAAAGGCTACTCTCTCTGAAAGCTAACCAAGCATATCATTTAAAGTGAAAAAATAGTACAAATGTGATATTGTACTGGGTTGTCCGTGGTTAGCTTTTCTTGGTTATTCAAGAACTAGCCGAATGACCCGGGCAACGCCCGTGTTTTACCCGATTGAATGTTTTGATTCAAATACTATTTGTTACAATTATAAATTGGCGCCTTATATAAATGCATATGTTAGTTAATAACTATAGCCTATGTGCTTTATCTGTCTATGTACTGTTGGCGTCCGTAGGCGTCTCTTACTGGGAAAAAGAAAGAGAGGATTCCATTTGGTTATTAACTAATATATGCATTTATTTAAGGAGCGACCCGCTCCAACACAATGGTTACAAAAACGAAAAAGCGAGTGGGGGGGAGGGGGGCATGATGGGGGGGGGGGGGGGACAAAGGTGGCGTGATCGTAGCCAACCAATAGGAGGGCGCCATTCCAAAAAAAAGAAAAAGCAAACGGTGTCAGAGATGACTGATTAAGAGATGAAGAATGACGCTCTTAACTGTATATAGAATGGGTATTTGGCCAATTCTGGAATAATTAAAAATTAACGAGAATAGTTGATATTTATTCCGATAGATGGCACAAGCCATCAGCAACTTTCAGTTGCACGATAAGAAGATGCCTTTTTCTTAACATAATTCAAAGTTTCTTCATTGAGTTATGTATTTGGTTAGCGTTCGGATAGAGTGGCCTTCAACAGTTGACGTTTAATAACAAATCCTGAAAACTAATCAATCACATAATTCAATATAATAAACACGTTCATATTCCTGACTTATAATTGAATTATATTAACTAGCAATCCAAGGTTGTGTTTCTTGTTAAACTTATCTCAAGGATTCAATGTTATATAAAGAGAAACTTTTCGTCATTTATTTATGTTTTTGGTTAGCTTTCGGATAGAGTGCCTTTAACAGTTGACGTTTAATAACAAACCCAATAAATCTCGCCAATCATAATTAAATATAACAAACACGTTCATATCTCTCTGACTTATAATTTAATTATACAACTATACCTGGGAAAAATAATAAAAAATGTTTTGTCATTAAAATCAAAAAAGCATATCCTGACCACGTTTATATAAACTTTTAGATGACAGAGCGCCATCTAAAAGATCATTTGAATGTGGTCAGGATATGCCTTTCTTATTTTAACAACTTTACTTGTACAAGAAAACTTCACCTTATATTTGATTGTTGATATTATTAAAATATATAATTCAATATAGACATGTATGGATTACAATGTTTTTTTTTACTTATCTCTCCCTAGTACACGTGGTACAGGCCATGGTAATCATGGTGGGTAGAAGTAGACGACTGCTTTCACTGTAAGTCCCCCACAGGTCAATACATGTGAAAAGCAGTTCGACTTTGCACTTACAAATGTGCCAGAGCCCCGTTTGATTATTTGCACTCGCTGGTGGGGTTGAACTTTTGTAATAATCGGGGTCCATTGGAGCATTTTTTTTAAATCAGAAAAAAAGTGTCCAATGCGGGAATCGAACCCGGGTCGTAGCGGTCGAAAATCAACGGTTGAGACCATCCTTCCACCGACCCCCTTTTTATTACAATGTAATTATTGATATATTTATCTTTTTGACCGTTTGATGAGACCCTTCAGTGTTCTATGTCTTGGTGTGAAGTGTATGAACCGAGGTTGGCTAGCAGCGTTTGTATTCAACCAGCTCTATTTTCTCCCCAAACTTCACCGATCAATATATGGAGAGAATATATTACTTTATACCATTCATAATTACATAATGACACTATGCAAATGTGAATATTCAAATTGGAGCAGTTAATTATATTTCGCGTTGCATTTTCATGAGTTCTGGAAACTCTGTGATTTAATTTTGATTGCAACTCTCTCTCCCTGGTTAAATATCTCCCCATAACTATTAGCTTATTAGTGTGGAAATTACATTTCCACCTTTCTTATAGAAAAGTTGCTCGATGTATCTTTTAGTTGTGTGTTGGTTCACACACTATTTATTTACTTGGATTCGGTCTTATTACCTTGTGTAGATTGAAAGAATAATTGAATATAAAAATGTCATTTTTCGGATTATATTAGGGTATTAAGAAAACTATAATCTACTTATTTGTTAAAGAATAAGAAACACAAGTTGGGAAGAAAATCTTCTTTTATATAAAAGTAAGAGCTTCATAATATGTTGTATCAGACACAGTCAAGCATCCGTTTATCTCGAGATACTTCTCCAGGTACACACCACGTGCCGAGATCTACTGGTCAATTCTTTCCAATTACACAGTTAATGTCCTATATATACAAATATATATATACATTATGATAATGATGATAAAACATGCAAAATAGATGTTTAACCATTTACATACACAACAATATATAAAGAAGCTTTTCTCACCGACTTGTGTTTTTTATTCTATATTTGAGTATATCAATAAAAATGTCGGTGTAAAAAACTTATTCTATCAATATATTTTAAAATGTATAATATAATGAAAATGAAACCTCCTGATTATGCAACTCAATATTGCTGAAGGCAAACCGCCAGCTATCGAAAAATACATCAACTATCTTAAGCCATCGTACAACTGAAACTTGGTTAATTCTGGAATAATTAAAATTAAACGAATAGGTGGCATTTATTCCGACAGACGTCACAAGCCACCAACGACTATCAGATTCACGATCAAATGTTTCTTTTTCTTCTTAATTTATCCACCTGATTCAAGTAAAAATCCACGCTACGACCCAAGTTCGATTCCACCGCATTGGACCCTTTTTTTTTAATTAAAAAAATGCTCCGATGGCCCCCGATTCTTGTAAAAGTCCAACCCCACCAGCGAGTGCAAGTAACCAAACGGGGCTCTGGCACATTTGTAGTTGCAAAGTTGAACTGCTTTTCACATGTGTAGACATGTGGTGCACTTACAGTAAAAGCATTCGCCTTCTTCTACCCACCATGATTATCTGCCAAGATTGTGAATTTGATCAATGAATATAGTCTCCATGACTTTGTATAATTATAAAATGGGATAAAAAAAACATGATTATCAGGGCCTATACCACGTTTACTAGGAATAAGCAAAAACAAAAAGCACTTTTATGCTATTTTTCTAATGTTCATATTAGAGACGTGATGAAAGCGCGTGGATTTTATATAAATATTTACTATTAATAGAGTAATTCCTCCTAAAGAATATATTGTGAGATAGAAATTCCAAGAGGACATCATCACGAGAATGTAGGAAGAGCTCGGGTTCTGTCAGCAAGTTGTGACGTGGATCCATTAGCCGTGTGATGAACGTCAGCCATCAACTTCTTATTATCGACAAGGATTGTTTGACGCTTTATTTATATAGCTCTGGACGCTGATTAGATCTACCTTTTATTTTTTTTATCTGAAACTACTCTTTTATTTGTCCTAATAAACAACTTCCTTCTGTCTTTTCTGACTGCAATGGAGAATATTGAGAGAACCTGACTCATCAGTGAATGACAATTCGAGATTTATTTTAAGAAGAAATAACGATTAATTCTAACCTTAAGGATGAGGTATGAAAGAATGAATTGTGAAGAGTAATGATAAACGGAAAAATAAAAGTGTTCAGGGACGGGAATCGAACCCACAGTGTTCCGCTTACCGGGCAGATGCCATGTCCACTAGGCTACCCTGACACATCAGTGGTGAAAGTAGTGCATTCAAATATATTGTAAAACATCCTTTGTATCTGGTTTTATTTTAATTCTAATTCTATTGACGAATTAATGTAAAATATAAGGTTGTACAAAAAGTTTTTGTTTTTCTTATAACTTGACGAATAATATTATTATGGCGAATACATAATACAATTTCAAAAATTGTTTATAACACACAAAGAAGGTAATGTGTATTTTCTCCCCCTTTCAATATCATTATTATTTAAAATATGTAAAAAATAATTTGTATATACAAATAGTATATATCATCAATTTATTATCGTGATACTCCTGTTGAAGGACTGACAAGTCTGAAATCTTGAAAATAAAATTTGAACAAGAAACTTAACCCTGGAAGCTTTATTTATTTTATAGCATAATATAATTACTTTATACAAGTACATATTTGAAAGACATTATATATAACGGCGGGTAATATTGGTATTTCAATTTTTTTGCAAGTGTTTACGAACTTTTGAGACAACCTTGTATTTTTTCCTGTAAAAGAGCTTTCAAGCCCGAAAGCTAAGAGGGAGATTTGTCAGTAAAGATTTTTAAAAAAGAAACTTTTCCCTGGAAGCCTGATATTGATGCAATGGATTATATTTTATCGAATAATTAAAACTTTATTGAGTAATAAACTGTGTGTGTAAGCAATTCCTTGTTATATTTCTTTCTCTGTCTTTTCACAAAGATCAAGGAATGCTTTATTCAATATACGTAGATTTAATGTGAACATGCACAACTCTGTTTGTAAAATATTTATTTAAATAATAGTCTGTGTCGAAAGGTATATACAGCTTAAAATAACCGAAATTAAAGCAAGCAATCTATTGAAAAAGAATAATTTGTCTATTAATTCTTGTTTGATGGTTGTTGAATTTATGGTTAGCTTCTTGTTCTTGAATAAAGCGAGATACAAGCATTCGTCTGATTAACATTCCTCAAAATTCAACCCCACCAGTAAGTGCAAGTAACCAAACGGGACTCTGGCAAATTTATAAGTACAAAGTCGAACTGTTTTTCACATGTGTAGACATGTAGGCACTTACAGTAAAAGCAGTCGCCCTACTTCTATCCATCATGATTATCATGGCCTGTACCACGTGTACTAGGGATAAGAAAAAAAAATCTTAATTCAGACATTATTCCTTTCGATTGATTGAGTGGATCTGTAACTTCAAGGTTGAACGGAGTGAGTTCAGTGAAGTGAAAATGACGCTGATACCAATGCTAGCCTAAATCCCAGCAATGGCAGATCAATGTATAAACACTAGACTATCTCCTATTACAATATAGACCGGCTGGGACAATGATAAATCAAGTGGATGAAGTGTAGAGATATCGTTCAACTAGCACGCATCATCCACCATGCACATATATTTTCAAAAAGTTGTTTTTCACACACAAATAATGTAGTATATTTCTCTCAATATCTCATTTAAATATGTATATAATAATTTGTATAAACATAGTGTTTATCATTAATTTGTTAACGTGATACTCCTGTTAAAGAACTGACAAGTTTGAAAGCTTGAAAATGAAAGATTTACATAAGAAACTTAGCCCTGGAAGCTTTATGTATTTTTATTATAAATCAATATAAAAAGACTGTATTGATCATTCAGTAGAAGTATGAGAGTAAAAGATGGGTAAAGCTATCTCAATAATAATGTTGATGATTGAAGAATTTTCAGAAATATCATTAAAGGAAAAGAAAGAAATAAGAAAGAGAGAAGAGAGCAATATTGATGGAATTGATGAAATATAATATTTGAGTGGTTTAGTACAGTGATGAATCGCTGAGAGTTGTTTTTTACTTTTTTTTCTTCCTATTTTCCTGAAGGTCCAGAACAAGTCTTCGGGAAAAGATGAGCTCCAAGAACCCCTCTCTCGTGGTAGCCATGGCAACCCTATCAAGATTGACGATCCCCAGGTACTTGAAGATTGAGTGACACGTGGAACTCTGGCTACTCTATCAGACCGTCTGCCTAACGTTTACATCTTCCATGGTAAACTTTCGAAAATAAAGTCTGGAATCTCAATTCTTCCTTCTTCAGGGTTCTTCTCTTTGAAACTATTGAATAGATATTTTTATTACTTTGGTTTTCATCCAGAGGGTAAATTTAAAATACAACGAGGAAAACTTCAGAATGAGTTAAACACAAAAAATACACTTAGGTAATTGGAAAGTTTTTGGTGGCGGTTTTCGTCTTTTTTAGAATTAGTGAGAGTTGTTCACACTCGGTTATCTTGTGTGTCTTCAATAAAGGTCACTGTAATATCTTTCAGAGTTATTGTCTGAATACGGATATACATGCTGAAAGTTACAACTTCCTTAAAGTTTTGTCCATGAGTATACAATAGAAAATGTGTTCTATGAACATTTCGTCGTTTTTTAAATATATATATTAATGTAATATACCCTTTATATAAATTAGGAAACCTGATAAAATACATATTTGACCTATCCAGATGAAACTTTGTCACAATATGGATTTAAGGATTCAGAAGAAATCATTCTCATAGTTCTCCAAATCCTCAATATGTAATTAATTATCTCCTTCAATTAATATATTAATCCGTTTCTATTAATCCGTTTGAATATATTTTAATAATCATTTATTAATTATTAATCTATTTGTATGAATATATATTTAATAATAATTTCCCAACCTTAAAATTTTAATTAATCAATTTTTTTGAATCCCTTTTTACCAACCCTAAAAAATCAATTATATAATTTCTTTGAATCGTTTCTTTTAAATTTCAAATTAAGTCCTGATTCTCTTTCCGATATATATATTCAATCCAAATACCTGGCAGGTATTGGAAATATTATTCGTGAATAAACACACGCAGCAATAAATAAATTTGAATATATCGACGTATTGTGTCCAATATATTTGGCAATCCTGACTAGAAATATTGCATATTGCACCACAAGGTTGTCTTTATTTAGATTTCAATCCATTTTTGAGATTATATATATATGGAGAGAGATAAATCTATTACCACAGTTTTATCCAATTTCTACGTTGAATCAAGTATTTCAGTAAAGTTACTTGAGTAACTTTGAATACTTTGGTTGGAGAGAAATAGGATTAGGGTCTCTCTAGACAGAAATTAGAATAATTCGATTTTGAAAATCCCCTTAACCGATCAATTTAGTGAAGTTATACTTCCTCTAATCAAAGACAGCTTTCTGTGAATATATCTAGATAGGAATGGATATAACTTCAATAAAACATAACAAAGACGATGGCTTCATTTAAGATCTTATCTAGATCTTGAGAGCTTATATCGCTAACAACCCAATTGTAACTAAGAATCAATTGGGCAGATAGTGTCAGTACGGTGGTGAGTCTGGACCTTTGCTGAAGAAGGATAGAATAATCCGTGCAAGGTACTGGTACTACATGTGTAGATATGTCTTATACTCACATTGAAGACAGTCACAACCCTCTTCCCACCATGGACTGTACTACATATGTAGACATGTGACAATTGACAATTAAAAATTTTTTATTGACTGTTAGTCAATGTTACAACTCAACCAGGAGGGTGAAAAGAAATATTTACATTTATAAGTTGTCAGGAATCAAGGCATCGCCGCCTAAGTCTGGCCATATCGGTGCCAACATCGTGATGGTAGCTCCGAGCCAGTTCTATGGCCGCGCCGAGGAATTCAGCGAGGACCCCCTTCAGCGCAGGTGAAAGTTTCGTCATGAGGGACGCTCTGTCTTCGGTGAATAAAATGGCGTCCTTAAGGTCAATAACATCGATCCCTGTATCATATAAGGGCCTTAGGCAGGTCATGTGCTTCAGTTTTCTGAAGATTTTAAAAATCATGACATCCTCTTGCTCTTCTGTCATCTGCTCCTCGTGGGGAACGGGCGGTGTCGGCCCAGTAGGCCGAGGCGCAGGCAGTGGGGGTGTAGGTGCTGCGGCTGGTGTTTTCGTTAGCTCAGCTCTAACTTGACCAAGGACCTTATATAAATTAGAGGTGTGTCCGGGCTTCAGGTCTAGAATTTGACCGATCAGGCCGACGAGGGCGTCGCACTGCGGAGGCGACAGGAGGGGTCCATTCCTCTGGGCCTTGGTCCTCGAGGAGAGGAGGTCCAGGACCTCCTCCCGCCCAAGACCAAGGGCGTCCGTCTTAGCAAAGGACACGCTGGGGTTTCCTTCTATGAACGCCACGAGGTCATCCCCCGTTGCGTTTCTTGTTGATGACGCGGAGGACGCAGTGGTCTCCTCCACGATGGACATCTCCACGTCCTGTGTTGGGGCTGCAGGCCCGAGGGTCTCCTGGATTGGCGGAGGGCCACGCGGGGTAGCGAAGTCAGGTCGAGCGGGAGGCGTCGGCTCTGGATGACGCGGCGTCGCCGAGCGAGGGTCCACGGGATTCTTGGGTACCTGCAGGGACGGAGCAGGGATCACAGGTGGAGGGGCAGAAGGCGTCTCCTCCATAGGTAAGGCTGGGGCCGCTGGTGGAGATGGCCGAGGTGCGGATGGATGGAGCACAGCTCGGGCCATGGGAGGAGCGCTGCAAACCTCCATGGCTAGATTGGAGGGAGCTGGCACAGGAGGCTGGGCTGCTGACCGCTGAGGCGGTGCAGAGGTGGTCGGTGGTGGGACGCCAGCAGGAGTGGTTGGTGGGGCCATTCTGGTGTTGTTGGCCAGCCCTGCAAGCAGGGGGCAGATGGCCCTCCGATGCCCTTGTCCGTGGCACCTGGAACACCTGATGCCCGAGGATAGGTACGCAGGCCAGGCTTGGCCTTTGATGTTGATGTCGAGGCGGGTTGGAAGCCTCTCGATGGTGATCCCCTCATGTAGGGTGATGAAGACGTCACGCCGGCCATCGACGTAGACGTAGGGGCCCGCCTTCATCTGCTTAGGGGCGATGGACGTAACCCGCCCAAATGGAGAGAGGGCGGTGATGACAGCAGAGTCCGCTACAAAGAAGGGGAGGTTACCCA